TCATTTTCCAAATATTCCTTTTCCTTTAGTGAATCCTTTCCATTCCAGTAACTTAGCTTTCCAGTTATTAGTGATAAGCTGTTAAAAATTACCATGAAAGTTCCAAAATTGACGAATCCGGTGTAAAATCTGGTTTTCAGGTCATCTCCTTTCAGGTCCTCTGCTGTGAGCAGAGGAAGATTCACTTGAACTCCAAAATCTTTCATTTCAACTGTAGCTTGAACACCACTGTTAGTAGAATTGGAACAAAACTGAATATCTTTATCTCTTGATCCATCCTTGGAAATACTGCCCGAGTCAAAATTGCATGACGTGGTTGAAATATAGTCGTGAAAACAGTGATGGAAGTTGTTTCCATTGCACACTGCTTGTTTGGTGCTCGATGAGGATTCAGCTAGCTCTTGACAAGTTTGCACTTTCGAAGATATCATTGATCCCCTCAATCTGTTAGGCAAGGGTCTATTCCGTCGAAGTAAGGATTCCTGGACTGGCTTCGAGGGGAACAAAGATGGAAACTGACACCAGAGCTTCGGGCCTTCTTCGCCTTTAAAATGCAAGCTGCAAACTCGAGTTCCAGACTTTGCAGAAAAATTTTGAGGCACATTTCTGAGCCTAGAAATCCAAATCCTTCTAGCTTTAGTCTCCTTTGGAAGTCTGTGAAGTTTTACCGCCTTTCCATTGACGACTTTGCCACTATAACTATGGCAAAGGGGCACACAACAATAAATCGCTCCCCGAGGAACTGTCTCCTTAGCCGCCATATTGGATGTGTACTTACCATAGCCTCGCTCTGGAGCTAAGGTTTCCTGGTCGACTTTGCGTTTGAAATATCTTGAGAAAGGGCTATCGTTATGCATTTTGTTGATGACGAGTGGAATGTGCAGCAGCGCCTAATAAGACTTCAAGTCTTGGCTACAACACAAACTACAACACGTGAGCGCTTACGGGCAGCACACGATATTGGGAGCTCCGCATGTTTTTGCCGATTTCTCACTAATTCTCAATCGGACTCTCCTCCATCTTCAAGCCACAGCCCTATTTA